ACATAAAACCAATTGGATATCTCTATTTGAAGTGGCCAATTCGGAAAAGGAAACCTGTGGAGTTTATTTTGGCATCGGCGTAAGGTTTCGCTAAGTTCTTGCCATACTCGACGTACAGAATGTTTTCAGATGAATAACTAATTGGCACAGTGTTTATAAATAAATAAAAACTAATTGCATCAGCGATGCATTCACAGAAAACACTATAATTTTTAAAAGTGTATAAGGTTTGTATGAGCAAGCAGATTTTTTGAGTAGTCGGAAGTGCATCATCCTCCATAAACACGCCTTCCTTTATCTTGCCATTCTGGGATCGAGAGTAGTTCTTTCAGCTTTTCACTGTTTTTGTCCGTAGTTAGAGTTTGCGTGTAAAAGGCCCCATAAAAACGGCGCAACTTCTGATGTATGCAGCATGATGAGAGTGAATTAAAAACACTAACAAAGATATTCTCTTAGAGCGGATATGATGTTAAAAAAATGCATGTTAACAGGCTGGAAAGTTAAATTGCTACCGGTGGGAATGCACTTTTTGGATTATTAGGTTGACACTCGAAGGGTAATTTTCTTTAAATTTTGGGATTCTGAGAGATGCTTATTTTTCGATTCAGTAAGACAAGGCGGTCATAAGATATATGAAAAGGTGATCTAAGTCACTTATTATTTACTATGAACACGCCTTATTTCAGCAGGGGACGGTAGGAAGGCATATCTAACAGAGAACATTACTGATACTCATTTTGTTGATAAGGGAAAACTGACGGCAGTTCCTGATTTGGTGCGATTATCAACGAAGGCCAGCGAGGAAACAAATGCTGAATGATTTAAAACGTAGTAGGAGGGAAGATTACATGTGAACGAGAAAGCAATGCAAGTACATACATTTCCACAATTGTCTTGTTTGGAAAAAAGTTCTTTCGAAGTACCAATGCTAACTAATTAACAGCTAGGTTTAGCCTTTCACAATTCTGGAAAGTAAATATGCAAATAAAAACACGTATTAAAATGTCTTCAGGTTACTTTAACTCAACTGTTCTTTCAATTTAAAAGTCAGTAAGATGAAATCTTCAAAACAATCGGTTTCCAAATTTGAGGATTTATCGCAGACCTCCTGGCACTTAAAAAATGTCGAATCGCATAGTCGGTGTGGGCAAAGGATACCTCATGTTAAAATACGCTCGCTGGTTATTTGGCTTCGACCACTAGCTGGCGCGAGAGGTCTGAAAAAGTCTTGCACTTCTAGTTCATGCGTAGGCGTGGCTCTAAAGTATTAGTTGAAATAAAGCCTACTGACCCAATGCCAGTAAGCTAGTTATCCCGGTTAATTGAAATTAGGCAATAGGCAGTCGCAATTTGTTAGTTTTGTCCCCTACGGGCAGAAAGTCCACTTGAAGTATCATTGGTCAACATTCACATTCTCGGGTAGGTTCTTGGATTTAATTCCCGTTGTCGAATGAATTTTTTGCTTCGATGAAACACAATCTAGTATACGTCGAAAAATGCCACTCCTATTAATTTTGTTAAAAACTTCATCGTCATACCTTCAAAGGATATCAATTAGCAAATTAATAACGACACAACTTCTGATTACAGGGATAAAAACGCCTCGATACCCACAGAAATTCGACTCTTCAGATATTCCGCCGAAACTATCAAGGTATTTAAATGACCAATAAGGAGGCAGTCGCTGGATTCATTTTAGTCTAACTGCTGTAACAGATAAGCATAAAACCATCACATCACATTTATTCCGCAAAAAGAACCTGCGATCAACAGCACAGGACTCTTTTAGTCTGACTCCTCGGACCAAAAAAGGAGCTCCCTATCAGAAACTACGCAAAGAAACAAACACCTGAAAAGTTCGACCACAGAACAATGGTGGAGGGGTTGAAAAGGAAGCAGTGCATCTATAGAGTAAACACAGTGACGCTATCTTAGTAAGTACAACCAGAACACAAAGCTTCCAAGTACTTATTCGTCAGAACTAATGAGTTCAAGTGAAAATAATGCATTTTGGCAAAAATTGGTAAGTTCTTTTCTAAGCTCCGGTTGTAAAACAGTATCAGCGTTCAGAGGTCTTTTTTTCTGGCTTTCACAAGAGCAACTAACCCGGACAGATACATAGCGCTGAATTCGTTTACTATCGCTCTGACTATTTTTACCAGATTAAATGGAGTAAATGGATTCGACTCCTTATTGCTCTCCACACCTCTGCAAAAAAACAAATTTAAGCCAATTTGACGCTTTTTGATACGCACCATATGTTCGACCTGACAGTCTGACCGTCCACCGTTCCACAATGTCCACAGCGTGCTTCAGTAGGTTGAATGCAAAGCCGGTGGTTTACGCGTAAATAATGGTAAACTGGCGGTAGACTCGCGTTGCATCTACCGTACTCTCCCCCTCCCCGCCCCACCTGGACTCCCTATCATTACCAAGTCAAGAGGAACGGAGGCGGGAGAGGTTTTAGGTGGCCGGCGTATCCGCGCCTAAGCGTGCCGTCACATCTGGCTCGGATCCCACGGAGTGGGCGTGCCATAAAGGCCACATTAATAGAGTGCCATTGTACCCTGACTGTCAGTCCGCCAGCCACTCCACACATGCACACACTGGGGTTGACGGTACGGTCCGAGTTATCCCGTCAACTGGGAACCGTCCAGGCCAAGGCTTTTAGCGCATTGTGAAAACTTCAAGTGCATCAGATCGTTTATGGTTGGTAAGTGGCGCTGAGCTGTCGACCTCATCCTATATTCCCATTCTTAGGCTCCGACCACCGTTCAAGGCAATTAATGGAGCGGTGCGGGAAATTATTCGACCTAATAAGCTACATGCACACTGGGTTGATGCATACATAATGAATACTGCTTGCTGATACTGGTTTTGGCATCTTCATGATCGTATTGACAATTTAAGTGGAAAAGTCCATATTCAGAGATTTCAGAAGGCAGAGGAAACCCCGAAAAGATTATTTCAATCGACCAACAAAAGTTACTGCCTCATCTTGCCGGATATTTCTTCGTTTACTTCTGATTCAATGTCTGTGGGGCTAATCTAGTTCCATGTAAGTATTTTTGATGAGAAATGGTCTCTGTCAACAGGAAAAGTACCAAGCTGTTATCTATGACCAGTATTTATGTGCGAAACAATCAGGAATAAAAGCAGCGGAGAAGTGGACGTTTGGTTTTTCATCATTTGAAGCCATACTACTGAAGGACAAACGGTGTTAATCTAAAATCACTGGACAAACCCCACTAACAATTTACAAGATGCTTCCAACCAAAATATTTGCTAATGGAGCTTGCAGTACCAATTAAAATGGATCTATTTTGTGAGAGGAAGAGCTCACCGTGCGGGCTTATTGAATATCTGTTTCTAAGAGTGATGTTGGCCTACGGGTATCAAAGCATTAAACTCTGATAAGTTAAAGTATACATTTATACCTTTGAATAACTGAGGTAGTGTGCATTGCGAGATGATAAATGAAGAAATAAGGCTCGTCAGGAAATTGAGCTATACTCGTGAATTTTGAGCAGACAACACCGACCCGTCGTCAGATGAAATGAGAAGTGGGGGGCGGGCTTATCGCACTAGGGAGTTTGAGGCAGAGGTTATATCGAGCAGATGTAGGGGTGGAAGTTAGGGCGACGCAAATCGTGCTGCGATAGGTGCTGCAAGTAAGAGAGGTGTGAGCGTTTAGATTATGGGACACGTGTCGAGGGCATGCGGAATCAATGACTTTTTACCTGGCCGAGCACGGATAGACAGTTGTTGTTTCGCCCTGGGCGCACACTGAAGCTGCGCCCACAAGCTTCTTAGCCAGCCTTGAATTTCTCTTACTAAAATTATCCATCCCTGGAAACACTCATGCAGATATACGCAGTTGTGCTACCGGACTCCTCCATAAAAGGCAACATCAGCAACTTTTACCGACGGAAGAAGAATGGGAATTACACTCCCTGAAATTGGAGTCGTACTTGCTTCTTAGATTACAATCGACTAAAATTTGTACATGGACCATGTTTGCATGAATTTTTGAATTCTTGCATAGAATAGTCACAAAACAAGAGGATATGTTTTGAAAACCGTGTCGGTTAGGTACATCAATGCTTTTGATCATTTATTTTGCTACTCCATTTTTTCGTTCGTCGCATCGCCGTTATCATTGGTTTCCTTGCCACCCAAAAGACTTATTAATACAAGAAACGACTGAGCGCTCTTTTACCTGCTGCTGTTCTAAAAACCTTATCTTTTCATCATTGGCAATGTCCGATGCTGCAAGTCCGTGTTCTTAAAATCATGGTAATTAAAATGGTGCTGAGTCGTGCTTTGCTTATTTCTACCAACCAATCAATTTCTCGTTGAATATGGATCGTTGAACAGACTTTGTTTAGCCCGGAATCGCACGTAGGCATGATTATTTTACTCGATCGTTTAACGATCAACTGGCTTGCAGGGACGGGGCGTTTTGGCTTTTCGTGGGTTATAAGCGGTTCGTAATCTCCTTCGTTTCGCGAGGTTAAAAGACATTTTAAGCATCTATTCCTATTTCGAGAAAGCTTCTTTATGAATAATTTTTAATGACCAGGCTATATACAGCGTCGCGGTTGAATGTAAACAGAGTATAAGTTCGTTTGCTTGGACTGCGCGATAGTATCTGGCATTCCTACAACGGAACCCAACTAACTAGGCAGAATAATCATTATTTCGGATGTGGAGGTCGAAAGGTGGA